TAAGTGAAAATGAATAGTTTTCCCAAGATAATTAGCCAGAAAGAGGACTCTCTAGGATGAAAATATTTTGTCACGTAAGAGGCGGATTTTCAAAGAAGTAGTTTTTTTGCATTTCCACGCTCTCTGTCTCTTAACGTCACTCATCACCTGCATGTCTCTTGAGCTTTTCGTCCCTTCTCCCTGATTTATTCTCATCCTCTCAGAATTGCTCTGCAATTCCTATAATTATGTAAATGCATGCTTCACATCTAAGTATGTGATCTTCCTCATCATTTCAAATTTCTGTTCCACTTTCTTTCTTTTTCTCATTTTATCCGCGACGTTATTAATTTATCAATTGTAATAAGAGTCTGCTTCACAGCCCCATTTGACTTTCCAAACTGTTCCTGCACTGTTGCTTCCTTTCTTCGTAATACTCTACCATTCCCTCTGTAACTAGTGGTCGCTTTGGATTATTTTAGTAAGCACAAGGGATATATACCGCTTTATAGCGACCAGACACAAAAGTATGTCTGGAAATAAACGGCGATAACAACGCGTGTATTTTCAATAAAAGGTTCTGGTTGTTTTATCTTTGGGGGAAGGATCGTGTATGAGAGATTTTTAGACAGCAGACGCGGTTTTGAATTTAAAAGAGTAAGCATCATACTACTTGTGTCTGAAAAAAAGAGACGCGCTAAATTCGCAAACAGTTACTATCTCAGTTGTGCTAAATTTTTGTTGGAGAAAATTTGAACAAACCGCAGTAAAGGGTTAACGATTTTTTATTTTGAGTGAATAATTCCAACTAAGGGCGCTGCTGCTATTTATTTTTATCAATCGTGTATTTAAGAACGCGCCGTTAAGAAACGCTTTGTGACAAAGTGATAGTTACCTACAGGCACGGAAGTTAGCTTAATTTATACCAAGGCCATTCGTTTGAGTGATAAAAATATACGCAAGGGAACATTTTCGAATTGGATACACGCGATCTTCACGTAGAACCGGAATTAAATCTACTGAATTAAAAAAAAAAACTCGTGCTATGTAGAGATTTTCTATTCATTTGCGTCGCTAACTATCAAGCTTTTGTAAAACATTTGTGTAGCGCTTTGTGTGATAAATAATTATTTGTACACAACATCTTTCGGCAAGAAACATTTATTCACACCATAAGACTGAATTAAAAATTTAATATCAAGATCAACACAGTGGAACCTTGACGTTTTATTCCAGTGCATAATAACAATATCACGTATTCATTTCGGAAATTGGAGCTGGTTTGTTGGAGTTCGCAATACGTATGGACATTTTTACTTGGGATTCACCACGAAGATAACGTTACCAGGGTGGTACAAAAAGTGAACTGTATCATTGCAGCGGTCTATTTCCATCTTTTTAAAGGGATCAGCATTTTTCCGGGGAGAGGGAGAGAGAGATTCTCGGCCACGTCACTTACAGTACGTTGTTTTAAATTTTTTGCATTGTATAAATTAGTGATCGGTTATTTTTAGGAATTTGAATATTGATTTTGGTATTTCTATGAGAACAATTTGTATAAAAAGATTCTGTATTGTAGTTCAGTCATTCATAAGAAATCAGACCCAAGCAAAGGATGTTGATTATTTTGTTTCAATGAGGGAATTTTATTAGCATTTAATTTCTGTGTTGTCATTCCTTTGGTTGGATTAAAACTTTATTTAGTATTGTGAAGGTGATTTCCACAGAAGGATGTATCAGTAATCCATTATATCTACAGACACGCGATCGCGAAATAGGCATTACATTACCATTCCCTTAGATAAGGGGTATGAAACATTTTTATTACTGAGTTAGCCGTGAGCAAACTAAAAATTAATTGTTATATTCGGATTTCTGCCAGTGTCGTAGAGGCTCAATTTTATTTTATGCAAGTGGGGTCTTTAACCCCTGCAAATGTAACTAGCTCTTTACACCTCCCTTCTTTGAATACTCGCAAAAGTTAGTGCCACATGAGCAACTGGCATGTCAATTATGCTATTTTTTGCCATATTTATAAAACGTTAGAGAGGAGCTAAATTTTGTTTCTTAATTTTTTAGGCATAACTCCAGGATTATTTTTGTCAATTTAACCAATCCTCTATCTTTGCTAATCAGTGAGATCTTTGTACTTAACATGAAATTTGATACAACCTGTACAATAAGATATACAGTGATATTAATTAAGAAACAAACATAGGGATTTCGTGTATTGGTTTTCTCTATGGTTACTTTTAAATGACAAAATCCTTCTGAAGGGCGCCTAATTTTATGCAACCAAAATATCTTCTTAAAACAAATCTGGCTATTATTAATTAATCTACATATTGTTGCTTTGGCCTCACATAAAATAAATGTCTTAAGCTCCTTAAACTGTCACCGGCACTATACCAATTGACAATATCAACTTTTTCTTTAGTTGAATACATCGCACACGAAGAAAAAAAATACGAACGCTAAAGCAACAATATTCAAATTAATTAATTTGACAGCCAGATCTTTATTTATTTTACGAAGTTATTTTAGTTTCATAAAATTAGGCAACCTCTAGGAGAGATATTGTCATCTAATAGTACACATAGGGAAATACAATATGCGTAAATCCCTACGTCTACTACGTAATAAATATCACTGTATAAAAAATATAGGTTGTAATACATTAATGTAATCAAGAAAAATAATGCGAAAATTTATGTTAAGATATACAGGGTGTTGCATTTAAAAAATACCAACTTTTGCCCAAATCTCAAAAACGGCGATCCAAACATTTTTTTTACTACACCACTGGATTCTACGTAGGTAAAAATATCTAAAATAGGCAGTTTTTACCCTTTTTCTATCTTACATGGGTAGTTTTCACCCTGTATTTCAGAAACAAACGTAGATAGATTGGTTCTGTTTGCGGTATTAAAAGTTTCACAAATAAGTGGTAGGTATTTTTCCATCTCTTTTGACATTTACTGAAGACTATAATTGATCCGGATTACTATTAGTACTTTTCCCTTTTGCTTTATCTTTGCTTAAGAACCCTGAATATTCCCTCCGATCCACCTCTACTTTGCCTGGGCTTACCGTTTGCTAATCTCAAGGAATGTTGAAAGGATATAGATTAATTCGTTCTAATTTTGCTGATTAAAGAGAGACATATGACTCATACCTAAATGCACCCCAAGGTACAATATACCACCACATTTTAAGAATCGTGTCTTATGTTAAAAGTTGAGTAGGAAAGAGCATTAATAAAAAGCAGCAATCGGAAAAGTTATTGCAATTGAGTTGTTACCATCCAGTTCCAAAGCTTCTGACGAAGAGCAAGGAAACAGGTAAAAAAAATGTAAATAGACATTGAGTACTTTTGTCATCCAACTCTCAGTTTATGCTCAATTGGTTGCATGGTCACCTTAAAAGTATCTGCAGTTTGGTTCGGTGGAAGAAACTTGAGTTCACTTAAAACATTTTTTGCAGAACGTCAAAATAAGGGGGAATAAAGAGTAGGTTACAGGTATTATTAACAAAAACCCAAGAGTAAACGTTCCATGAGGATACTGTACTGCATGGGCATTTTAAAAAGTACGATACCACAGGAATTTTTCGATTTACGAGTATCGACGAGGGTATAAAAATGATAAATGGCCAATATTTTCAATGACTCCGCCACATGCGACCCCCTAGGCCTAGACTAGGTATATCTGAAGTGTTTAAAGGGATGGGTCAATTATTTGCTCCAAGAGTTTTACTGCAAAATGTTTCATGAATTGGCAGAAACTACAATTTCATATCCAAAACAAGGGGTTGCAATTTTACGAACTACGGTCTTAATTAATGTTGTATTATATTTTTTGAAATCAAATTCACTATGTAATGCCATTGGAAGCCCTTGAAATATCTGAAATTTCAAGACAGAGTGGAACATAATGCACTTGATTTAATTAAAATATTCTCACTCAATCTAGAAGTCAGCTAATATTCTTGCTAACTACTTTACAACTGTAAGACATTTTGCAATAAATTTGCCAAAACTTGTTCATTACATACATAAGGCACGGTTATTTATAAGAAATATAAATTTATCGACATAAGAAACTTGTTTTTATTTACATAATTATAGAAATCGAAACGCAATAAATCTATAAGGCAATGCAGAGCAGAAAGATTCATGATTATATGGCAATTAGTCTTATTGATAATGATATAACATTGGATAATATAGCAATCATCAAAATCTTCTAAAGAAAAGTGGTTTTCGAATTTATGGCAATGACCTGCAGTAGTAGCAGCGCACGTAAACCATATGTCTTTCCGGAATAAATTTACTCCAGATATTACACTTTCATTGGTAGTGCACATTTTATGTAAAAGCGAGGCAAATTCGCGCGCCCCACTTTAAAATTGTGATATTCATAAAAAAGAAACTATGGGGGAATCAATTGCAGGTGTGAGAAAATAAGATCTCGTTATAATTTTTAATTAAATTGCGACCATTTCGTCTACAACTATCGCTTTTACTATACGACAACCTCAATTTCTTTCTTTCCATTATGTGAGCCGAAAGTCAATTTGTTGCATTCCTGAAGCTGGCGTTTATTATGAAATGCTGCAGCACTAATGATAGCGGTCAAAGAGTTTTGCAATTTGAAGGCGGATCAAATATCATTCGGCATTATTATTTAAATGTTTCAATAATAATAAATGATATGTAGTTACGTTACATTGTACTCCCATTTCCGTCTTGTTTTCAGTTCGTAATCTGCGATCTATTAAAATTAATTGATTCTAAGGGTATTGCGTTAGTACCTCGTTACGAAAATACCAAATATTTAGGTCCATCGAGGCCCTATCAATTTTAAATGACTTTAATTGAAGAAATAATTTACACTTGCAATTAGTAAGCGTTTTATTGCATATATAAATAATTAACTCAGAGTGTCTCTATTAACCTACATTGCAGAAAAATATGATTATCCCATTTGCGAAACTGATAAAGTTTACTGGAAAAATCTTACCTTTCTTGGATTCGTCATCGTTTAAATCCAATGAGCACAAACTGGATCACCTTCTTGCACAAATTGACAATGAGAAAATCACTAGAAGGTGGATAGGTACCGTGTTTTGCGTTAATGTATACGATATTCTCGTACCACCTTACTTTATAACTTACGGTAAGTGAAAGAAGGGGAAATTTCAAACATAAAGAAATTTGTTTAGATAGAGGAATTGCACTTCGACAAACTCGACGAGGGTCAAACATTCTTGTCCAGGAATGCGCCTTTTTTATTAGTTAAATTGGGGTTTTCGCCACACGCAAGGAATAAAGCGAAAATGTGCATTTAGGTATTGCCAATTATGTTAAGTATCGACTAACAAACTGTAACGATTGGTAACAGCATTAAATTATTACACATGAGAAGATTTATTTTTGTTTTCCATTTTTAAATGGTACGTGGCAAAATATTAGTTCGACCCAATTGGCAATTACAAAATGAGTTTGAGAGAAAGTATGCATTTGCGATTAACTATGACTAATAGATAAACGTCTGACTTTAATAGGGTAGTTAAAGGTAAACAAAAATTCTGCAATTGACGCAACGAAGTTATTATAGGTATTCGATTATCACAAATGTGAAATTCTTGTTTTTTAAGTACCTAATAAATAGCACTGTTTTTAACAATGTTTCATTATAGAAAAATTTCCCTCTGAAAATTCGCCTCCCAAAATTTATCCCCCGTCAAAATTCATTCCTAAGTAAATTCCCTCGAAATAGTCACCCAAAAAAATCCGAAAAAATTGTGTCCGCTGCCCATCGTAGGGAAAATTTGACCACAGGGACTGTCCCCTGGACTGTCCTCATTTAATTTTGACAAAGCTGCTGAGCACTCATGTAGCCATGGGTTGGCCTAGATAAGCAAGTGCCCACCCTGCGTATGAAAATTGCCGGTCTAGGACATTAGGGCGCCGCCGAAAAGGCGCGACCGTTAGGGCGCGAGACATAAAGGCGCATGGACATAAGGGCGCGAGGACAAATGCGCGCGGGACAAATGGGCGCGGGAAAGAATATTCTCTAAAAAATATATTGTGGTTATAGTTAGTTAGGGCGTTCGAGATACCAAAAACATATAATGCACAATGCAATGTTGAATCACACCTTTTATATGCATCACTTTTACTCCTACTTCTATGTTTTTAGCGTCGAGTTGTTTAAACGAGTCTTATGCTTTTTCTCTATTGCTCGACGTTCAACCATTAAAATTTAGAAATTGTGGGTTTCTAAGTGGAAATTTAATACTCTGATGATAACATTTCTCAAGTTTAAACCTGGAACTGTTGAACTTCAATATTGAAGTTTAAACTAGAACGGTTTTAAAGCTTGGTTGAAGCTTTATTTTTGTTTTTATTTTATTTATTCTTTTTTCGCATCTTTCGGAGCGGCCGCTTTGTGCTCGATAGTCGAGCGTTTAATGTGCTCGGCGATCGAGCCCTTTTTCCTGCCCGTGATCGATTTTTCGCCTCAAGAGCGTTTTTGTTTTCGCTCGAAAGCTCTTTTTTCGCCCTCAAGCTCTTTTTCCACTCCTGAGCGTATTTTTCCCGTTCCTGAGCGGTTTTTTTTCGCTCCCGAGCGCCTTGTCCGCTCCCGAGCTCCGCTCCTGGGTGTTTTTGCCGTTCACGAGCGCTTTTTGCGCTCTTGAGCTCTTTTACGCTCACGAGCAGTTTTCCCGAGCGCTCGCGATAGACCGCTCGAGCACTTTTAGGAGTGCTCGGAATTCGCAAACAGTTTCGCTTTACAAAACAGCTCGATGCTCGCGTACATTTTTGAGACAATTAAAGCGCTCATCGCTCGAGCGGTTTTTTAGAACGCTCGATCCAGCTCTGACCAGTGGTGAGCAAACTTTTTGAATAAAGGGCTACAAAATAACTTTTCATTGAGGTAACGGGCCAGAATAAAATATGCAATAACTTTTATCTTTTATAGTATTTTTCATTTTAATAAAAAACGAAACATTTTATTTTAAAGAAAATAAGCTCATTATTAAAATTAAATATTTCGTTATATTATTTTATTTGTTTAGTTACCATAGGTTCCGGTTCAATTCATCGTACAGTTTTCTGATAGGTAACATTTTCATTCATTGAATATGCATTTACACTAATTTTTGGTAAAAAAGGAAGGTTATACACTGCCCTTTTTTGAGCCCCGAGAGAAAAATTGTCTCAGATCGACCGGGAAAAAAATTTTTCTTATAGAATGTGCCATGTAGAACCCATAATTTCAAACAGTTCGAAGATTGGGCTACTAGTTCAAAAGTTACAGCCCTTTGAATTTTCTTTCGAAATTGTTTTCTAGTCTATAACTTTTGATTGAGAGATCTAATCGAAAAAGTACGAATTGTTTTGGATTCTACGCCCCAAAATTAATAAGAAAAGGTGTTTTCCCGAGAAATTTTGGTTGGGCTAGTTCAAAAGTTACAGCCCTTTGAATTTTCTTTCGAAATTGTTTTCTAGTCTATAACTTTTGATTGAGAAGTCTAATCGAAAAAGTACGAATTGTTTTGGATTCTACGCCCCAAAATTAATAAGAAAAGGTGTTTTCCCGAGAAATTTTGGTGTAGTCGATTTTTGGTAAAAAAGGAAGGTTATGCACTGCCTTTTTTTGAGCCCCGAAGAAAAAATGAGATCGACCGGGAAACAAATTTTCTTATAGAATGTGCCCTATAGAATCCATAATTTCAAACAGTTCTAAGATTGGGCTTTTCTATAAGAAAAAATTATGGTCTATGACGATATATAATGGTATGATCTACACTAATTAACTAAACGATGCATGACTACGATTTTGTTTCGCTTTTAATTAAACTAAACTTTTATCCTTCTATCACCACTTTCGCTTTTGTTACAGTGATGTAATTGACGCTTTAGTATCGAGTATAGGTATTCGACATTTATCTTGTCGTAGCCGTACATTTCTTGAACCATTTCTCTACGGCTATACCGATCCATTTCGATACAAGCAAAGCATGTAGTTCACCCCATTCCTGGGTAATTACACTGCCTCTCTCTATAAGGTTCTCATACTAATGTTGCAGTTTACAGATGATGAAATGTTAATGGTTGATTCGATGTATTTGAATAAGTAGAAATTACAGGGATGGCAACCTAGTGGTTTTTAAAATCCTAAACAATTTAACCTTCATCAGTAACATTTGAGGAACAATAATTTAAACATGCATTAAAAATTCACAAAAAAAAGAAGACACAGAGGAAGCACACAAGACTTGTAAACAACGTATCACGCACAAGGGATCGATGGAAAAAATGGATTCAGCAAATCTTCCAAAATGTTCGGTCTCCACGTTTCTGGGCAGCATTCAAAAACGTGCCCCATATCGATTGCATCTGGAGCATATGGCCTGTGTTTCGTTTTTCAAGGGTCTTCTTTTCTTTTTCCAAAAATTCAGCAATTATTTCTTCCCTACAAAGGCAGCAATGACCCTTGAAGCGAAAACATTTTCTCACAACTGACCTGAGTACCGGTCATCCAGAGCTCGTTGATGACTGCTGGACCGAATCATCTATTCCACTACTTACGATTCGTATATGAGCGGCTATCATAGCCTCATTGCAATATTTTTATGACATGTGCTATGAAATGCTATTTCCTCTTTCTCCGCTCAGATGTGTAGATGGTACTTTTTTGCCATTTTTTTAGCTGATTTACGTAGTGTCAGTTTCTGAACGTTTCACTGTACAGGTGAGGGCTCTTTCCAGATTCTTGTTGCAGATTAAACATTTATATTGTAATCTTCCATTGTCTGGTTCTGATACCATTATCAATGTCCACAAACAGTATTACATTCACTCCGTTCGAAAATGCGATTTTTGTGTATATCTCCGTAACTAACAGTCCTAGGAACAAAATTTTAAGACTTAGCTGATAAGAAATTTAATACTCTACGACATTGAATAGAATTCTTTTGTAGGTAAAATGCACCGAAAAGAAGATATAAACGGAAATCTGAAGAAAGTTCCGGTTTTTTTAAGTTTTTTTCCATATGGCGGGGAGCACGGAGAGAAAATAATTGTTCATTTTACATTTTAAGCATTGCTAACCATCCTAGACAACATATCCCCCGCCCCCCCTCTGCTCACTGGATTATTAATAACATTTTTTAAATATTGGTTAAAACAAATATTATAACTTAAAATTGTTTCCCGATCGCTTTCAGGCATTAATCCAGCCAATTTATTTAAAGTAGTGCTACTCCAAATGCCCTAAAACCATACGAATTTATGTAAACCAAACTAAAACGCCGGAGGCAGATAAAAATTAATTAGAGTTGAAAGAAGGCGGTGCCTGATGTGAAATTGATTGGCACTTTCTGTTTGTTCAGATACTTATTTTTAAGTGGTTATTTTTGTACTATAAATTAATATCTAATTTGTTAGTTAAATCATGAAGCACGATTATAAATTTTAAGATCATTAGGATTTAATTTATTCTATGTTATTGAACTTATCTAAAAGGAAGTTAGTGTAAATGCTTGTGAAAAAGGGAAATTATTTCAGTTGATGGAATATTGTGTAAATCACGAATGGATACGAACACGCACTCATGATTTTACGGTTGAAGTGTGAAGCCTTTTTGTTGCTTGGTTGGGTGTATAATTGAAAGCTATTGGAAAAACTAAAAGAAAATTATGCACCCTTTATCGTACCAAACTTCGAGGGTAACAAGGAGATTGTTCTTTGGACATTTGGGCCACGAGGGGTTTTTCTAATTATGCATCCGCCTAACATGTGACTTGATCATCCCGGAACTGCTATTTTGGACCAAGATATGACTCTTGCGTAAAAGGCAATTTATTTTGATAGAGTAATTGTCTATAAAAATGTCTCCATTCCTGATACAAACAGGGTAGTTTTTGTAAACGAACATTCTTTCCAACATCAACAGCCAACTGGCCGATGATGCGATAAGGCATTGGACTATCAGCTATTTAATTTTCACGCTGTTTACCGTATCGAACTAAATATTAAATGAAGCACAAAAATCGGTTCTACAATACAAACGTTGGGACTGTTATCTAACCGTCAATCAATTGCACAAATTACAACTGGCCAA